ACAATCCACAATTCCAAAAACAAGGTAATTTGCATTTGATTCCCTACAAAATGAGCAAACACAAGAAAAAAAAAAGTCCATTAATATAATTAAAAAAACATATTATAATACAAAAATAATAAAAACTTTAACTATACCTTCTTTATTTTCAAATTATGAAAACGTACATACTTGTTAAGCATGCCAATTGTTGATATGTGTTTCATTTCTTGACACCTTGTCTCGATACGAACCTTGATTATTCAATTTAAGTTTTACAAGTTGAAATTGCATTTTTATTTGAAGTATGGAATTAGCCTCAACAAATGGCTCCCATAAGTTATGCATCATTCACATGTATTATTCTAATTTTTTTTTAAATAATGCTTAAACAAAATAATAAATTTTATTGTTGCGAAAAACTAACTTCATCACCATCCTCCACATCGTTAGCATAGGAGATAATTGAAACTATAAACCCCATTGATGAAAAAACTTAATGACATTTTGCTCAATCACACAATGCAAATACAAACAATCTTTCAAAAAATTAAATGGAAAACTTTTAATAGCCATTCTAACAAATTTCTAACAAAAACAACCTTTCCAATGATTGTAAGGAAATTTTTTAATAGGAACAATCTTTCCCTTGCAATTCACTTTCAACACAACTCATCCTACCACTAAATTTATTACAAAAAGTAGAAATTGCCTTTAGGCTCTATAAGATTTAATGGGCAACATTTAAGAAATCACGAGCCTAAGAAAAGGGAGTAATATATTCTAAAGAGAGAATATTTAATCCAAACTCAAAATCCCAAGTATTCAACTCAAATTTAAATATCCATACAATCACACAGAAAATAAGCAAAAAAAAAAAAAAATCATTTCATACTACTCCTATAATTAGATCTTTAATCCAAAATTTTCATTAATTACCGACATGATTGAGATTAAAGCTATAAAAATACCTAAAAGCCTTAATTATTATTATAACGCTAATTTTCAGAACAACCAACAAAAAATCATTCACCAAATTTAGATTAATATCATGATGCAACCACTCAAATGGCAAAAAAATCCTATTAATAAGATGGTTGAAATGACAAAGTAAAAAGCATTAGCTGTTGGCAAAGTTGAGAGATGGGTGGTTGTCGATGAAGTTTGGTTGAATAGGAAAAAAAAAGGACAAAGGTGAATGGTCATAACCTTGCCTTCCAGCAAAGGTCTATAAGAGAGGCGGCTAGGGTATTTTGATTTTATTTTTTACTTGGTCGGTGGTTGCCTGGTTTTAATTTTGGATAATGGTGGAAAGAATGACCGCCTGAAAAAAAAAAAATAGAATTTAGAGGGCGGTATTTTTCTTTTTCACTTTTTTTCATGGGAGGTGTGAATAATTTTTTTTTTTCTTTTCAACATAAAAATAAGAATTTTAAAATTACTACATTAGACATAATTATATTTATTGATAAGCTATTACATAATTTATCATTAATCAGTTGTAAAAACATTATTAACATAGAAGTAATGACTATTTATCAGTGAAAAACCTTATAGTGTCACAAATAATACCATAATTATGACTAAATAACAAGTGGTCACAATTACATATGGAATTATTGTCACTAGAAACACAATAATGTGACTAATTTATATATCACCACAAAGAATTGTCACTGTACACCTTAACAACAGTGACCACTTCATGTGTTGTCACTAATACATTCGTTCCCACAAAAATTCAATATGAAGTCAATTTGCATATTTTACTAGTGACGACATTATTGTGACCAACAATTTTTTGACACCATTAATATATTAATAGTGACAATTTAATTATGATAAAGATTAACATGCCACAATTACTAATATAGTAGTGGTCAAATAATCAGACATCACAATTATTTATATCAATAGTGTCACATGAAAATTTCATCACAAAAATTCTTATATTTATGACAAAATTGCTCATTATCACAAAAAAATCGTCACTAAAAGACTTAATTGTTGTAGTGAGGACAACAAATGATTTTTAGTCTCTAATGTAAAAAGAAAAAAAAATCCAGGCATAACTTTGTGTGGACTTGCTCATGATAGAGGGAGAATCCTAAAATTAAGTGAGATAAAAGAAATAAATAATAAGTAGGATGTCTAATGTATATATCTATGTACATTATACATATATGGCAAAGAAAATATGGAGTATTTGAAGGGTTTAATCTTGTAGTTTCAAAGGAATTAAATATGGAATAACATCATACCATTATTAACTTTTAAGCATACCTAAGTGGTAAAAAACACATAAACTATAAAAAGCTAAGCAAAATTAGTTGAAACTATGATAACATAAATCACTTGTATATAGATTAAGGTTTCAAATTTTCTTTTACACTATGTTTATAAATAAATAAGCATTCATTTATAAACCAAAATAACATATAAACACATGTATTGTTTTTTAAATGTAAAATTTATCAGATGTACTAATTTTAATTTTGTTCGATTATAAGCATAATTGACACGTGCGATTTTTAAGTTAACGCATTTTTTTCTATTCACATTTTCTTTATTATATCTTGATTGAATCTAAACATTTACTCTCTTCATTATTATTTTAGAACAGATAGCAAAAATGGTGGATAATCTAGGAAGGAGCAAGTTCATCTCATTGTTACGTGTAGAGAAAGGGCTATCTCGAGTTATTGATGTAAATATCCATTGGGTTTGTGAAATGAAGTGCTCCACCATTTCTATTTGGAAAAGTAAGTGTCATGGTTTTCATTTAAAAAATTTGCTATCTTAAATTTTCAAACATTTTGTTCAAACTTTATGATTGCAAATTTTTATACATAGAATGATGAAAATGATAATGTTGAGATGATTGAATGTTTAAAATCAAATTTTAAGAAAATTCATGATTAACTTAATTAGTTCATATAATTATTTTTAAAATATGATATTCAAACTCAATCTCTTTTTCTATATTTATACCAAGACTTTTATTGTACAAACAAAAATTAATTTTTAAGGGTTCTAAGTCAAATAATAAGATAAATATTAGGTACAATTTCTCCAAGACCTTTTTGTCTTTTTAAGATGTTTTCTTTAAATTCATGCGTTGATTTTTTTTGTAGGTTTTTGTGATTTTGCTTGGATATATTTTACAGAATTATATATATGTAATTTTTTTATAGGAAAGAAATTTGTAATTATATATAGAGCATTCAACATATGTGAAAATGATTGCTAAGTTTCTAGAAAAAAGCCTTATGTTCTTCCCAAATCCCAATCAATTTTTGAGTATTGTAAGAATATTTAACCACCTATTTTCATTCTCATAGTGAATTATCCATCTAAAGTTACTTAATTGAAAAAAATAAAATAAAATAAATTAGAATGAGCAAAATTTTCACCTTAGTTACATATTTCCACACCTATAATATTTTATTTATGTGGTTGGTAATGGGGCTAATACCAAGGCTACTAATTTTTAAAATTTTTAATTAGATATTAATATATGAGAAAAAATATTTGTAAGATACTCATTGTTTATGCTAGAGGAACTATTTTTTTTTGAGCCAATTAACTAAATTATTCAAAAATCATGTATGCATTTTTATATATGCATTTTTTATATATATAGAAAATGCATTAAATTTTATATTGGTTAAAATAATAAATTTTTTTTAAATTTTATCATTTTACTTAAACAAATTATTATATTTTTATTGCACTCAAATAAACTATTAACCTTTAATTTGCCCCCAAATAAAATTTTAAACTTTAATTTATACTTAGACAAGCCTCTAATATAAATAAATCTTTTGTTTAAAATATGAACTTATTTAGATATAAATAAAAGTATAAGGATTTATTTAAATATAAAAAAAAGTGAAATAGTTTTGAGATTTATTTAATATTTTAGCCTTTTATATTATACAATGGTAGGTCATTGTTTCTAATTTTATACATGTGCAAAAAAATTCAATTTCTTTTTAATTTCATGAATTCAAACTCTTCTATCTCAAAATTTAAATTCAAATTTTATAAATTAAAATATCAAACTTTGACAGTTATGAGACAATTATTTGTGGGTTAATTAATTAATTAAGTAAAAAAAGTATCCCTTAATACGAGAAATTATTAATTAAAACAAAATTATATTTCGAGTTATTAACATATTGGCAAGATAAATTTACCTATTAGGTTTCTTAGCACTGTCATAGTATTAATATTGTAATGGCAAACAAAATTTTTTTAATCCCACACTTAATTCAATTAATTGATATAAAATGATATTTAATATATTTGAAATTTAAATTTAAACAACTTCAATTTCTTTCCTATCTCAAATTATGATTATATTTCTTTAAAAAATATATTTTTGTTTGAAGAAGGCTAAAAACAAATATAGTATATCTTAAGTTTTGGTACATAAAATTATGATAAAATAAGATAAAATAATATTATGAATATGATTAGATTAAATAATGTCATCTTATCTTATATTTAATATGTATAAAGATTAAAATAAGATAATTTATTTATTTCTCAAAATTATATTTTTTAAAAATTTATATAATTTAAATTATTAATATAATTTTTAAAAGTATAATAAGACATGTAAATTTAATCTTATGAATTAAAAATAATTTTTTTATTGAAATGATTGAATAATTTTACAAAAATAATAATTTTTTAAAATATAAATTAAATATAATATAAAATAATTATTATATTATTCTATCTATTATCCTGTTCACTAAACATGAATATAATAAAATATCTAATTATGAACATAAAAAAAAAAAAAAGAAAAAGTCTTCCTTATTAATCATTAGTTATCACCAAATTCCAACCATTTCCAAAAATTCCTATAACCGAAGTCCTCAACTGTAATTTTGTTTTCGTAAACACATAAAAAAATCTGTGAAAATTATTTTTAAAGCTGGGGTTGTAAAGGTAATCTCGTAAGAACCTGAAAAAATCAAGGGCAAAAAGAAGGAAAGTCAAAATGGCTATATATGTAGAGAGAGAGAGTAGTTGCGAGAGAAGGGAGCGGAGTTGGATAAAGAAATCCGCTGTTTAAAATAGCCCATAGATTCATGCAGGAGAAGTAGTTTCCAAAGACTATGGCCCCTGGTTTTCACTCTCTCTCAACAACCTACTCTTCACTCTTTCCCTTTCACCTGAACACTTGCATTTCTTTATTTCTTGTTCTTCATCTGGTCCCCTCCCTTTTATACCCCTTCATTTCCTCTTCTTTTTCTTCACCAACAGAGATGCTAAGTTTCACATCTCTGTCTTGCCTTCCTTCAACTTGCACAAAAATCCCTTCTTAAATTACTCCAAAAAGGAAAAAATAACTTCTTTTTTTACGCTTTTGTCTCCCCTGTTTCCTCTGTTTTCCCTTATTCATCACCATTTCTTGGTTCTTTTCACTTTTTCGTTGATACCCAGATTGTAGTTTTCAATTTTAAACACTTTTGGGAAATACCTATATCGAAATTTAGCTCTTTTTTGTGTTCCTTATAGAGTTGATTCAGAATTCTAAAGGGAAAATTGGAGGATTGAATGGGAAGAGCAACTTTGGCTGATATAAAAGAGAAAGATTTTGGTGAATTGGTTAAGGAAACCAAAACAAATACAGAAGATAAAAATAAAGTTTCCAATTCGAATAAGAATAGGAATACTACTTCAGATAGAAGGGGAAAGAAGAGCCGTCGGCAGCATAGGAAGATGATGATGCCGGCTGCAGTCGTGGTGTCGCCGGTTCAAAGGCTTTTCGATACTTGCAAGGATGTTTTTGCCTTATCTGGGACTGGAATTGTCCCTACCCCGGATAAAATTGAACAGCTTAGAGCTGTTTTGGGTATGTTTTGATTGTGATTTTATTGGATCATAGCATAGGTTGACTTTAGTGTCTAAATGTGGTTAATTGACACCAAAAAGTTGTTAAATTTGTTGATATTAATTGCTTTGAATTGTCTCGCTCCTGATTGACTTTCGGGAATGATTCAGCATGAAACTTGGGAAATTGGTTCAGCATTTTTTTCTGAAATTTTTATCTTTTAAGAATGCTGTATACTCTTAATATTTGATGAAATAATCAAAAACTTTACCATCTGTCATAGAATTTTTTATTTTTAGAAAATGCCTGTCATTCAATATATACATATAACACACTACTCTTTTCAAAAGGGTCATCTGTGGCATGAGTAATTGGCTTACCACTCATTTGCCTATGCATTTGTTAGCATATGAAGATCATAGGAATGTGGTATCATAAACTAGTGGCAGATGCTTTTGTCACACTATTTAAGAAGATAAGACTGTAAAAGAAATGTTGGGAAATATACCTCATTACTCTTTTTTATTGCTATTCGTTTGAATATTTGTGTTTTAGGGTGCGTGTGTTGTTATTTTATTCGTGTGATTCTTGTGTCACGGGTTGAGATTCAACCTTCAGGTCCGTGCGGTTTTAGGACCCGAGCATGCACTCATCCGGCATTTTAGATCAGTTTATCTATCATGGTTCACACTTTTGTGAGGTATTATCTGCTTTGGTTCCTCTAAACTTATGGTTTTGTCTTATAAAAAGCGAGGGGAATGTGTGAACCCTTATATCTCAAGATTAATTTTAGTACACAGCCGATGTGAGATTCGTGACTCTTCTTTAGGACCGTGACACTTCATATGGTTAATCAGTATCAGTTAAGGCTTTCGTACATGCATTTTTGCTGTACTTTATTACGTTATAAGCGTCGGTTAAAGTCTTTCAATAAATTATGTGTCATCTTGGTATAATGTTTTTCAGATGTCACAGGAAAGATATCTCATGTCTGGATATGTCAGATATTTCTTTATAATGTGGAGCATTCAATTTTTACTACATTTTTTATGCTTGGGAAGTGTGTAACTGGAAAAATAGAAGGGAGCATTCATCTTGTATACAGCCATTCTGATTGCTCCAATTTTGATGCACCTTAATTCTGTGTAATGCAAACTCTACTATCATGTCTGCATTTTGTTTCTTCTGTGCACTGTGAATGTGTGGTTGTTTTCACTGATAATGAATTGTCACTGCAATTGAAATAAAGTTATTCATCTTATATTAAATGTTATCTACCGTTTATAAGTACAAAGTAAAAAAGAAGTGGTCATGTTCCACATATGTAAAATGCAAAGGTGTAACTGGCGAAGTTAGAGCCAAAGAATAAAAATGATGTAACTATAACAGATACTATTCATGCGATAGTGCATTACTTCTGTTTGTTCTTTTTGTGCAGATGAAATCCAGCCGGCAGATGTTGGTCTTACTCCACATATGCCATTTTTCAGTCCACCAGTAATTCGACAAGCTCCACCAATAACATACCTGCACATCCATGAGTGTGAAAAGTTTTCGGTATGTACAGCTTTATTGAAATGATTTTTTGCTCTTTAAGAGACGGAAGCCAAAATTTTTGACTAAGTGTAGCATGTCTTGGTTGGGACTTATAAAATTTCCATTTATTGCAGATGGGCATCTTTTGCTTGCCGCCATCTGGTGTCCTTCCACTTCACAATCACCCTGGAATGACGGTTTTCAGTAAACTTCTCTTTGGGACTATGCACATCAAATCATATGATTGGGTGGTTAATGTCCCTAGCAATGCATCAACTGCTGTGGATTCTTCACAAAGTAGGTGTTTTTCTGAGATTAATTGTTTGGTCTGTTTCTTTCTAAGCATATTTGTCTATATGCATTTTCTTTATGTTCATAGAAAGAGTGGTTTTTCCAAGAGCCGATTTGAGATGCTGCAAAAGCTGATATAGGTACTTATTCTTGGAAAAGAAAAAGAAAGAGAGAGGGCAGAGGTGGGACTGGAGAAAAGAAAAAGATAAACTCCATGATTGGGGTTTCTGTGGCAAAGGGAAATAAATAATAATAATAATCACAGATTGGCATATTAAAACGAAATTTTTTTATGGTGGTTTATGTTTGAAACTCTTGAAGGGTCATGTATTGCCATTGGTTAAGAGCCACGGTAGAATAGTGGACTGGTCTCAAAAAGCTTCATTTGTTGAGCGCTGATTTGCATCACTCGCATCCTCTCTTTGCTTTTTCCTGGTTTTCTTCTGTAACAGACCAGCCAACTTCCACTTAAATAAATTAGAGAAGGAAGTAAAATTTGTAATGTCACCTGATGAAACGGCTTCCAAATGCATAGTTAAAGTATGTGGATGCAATGGCAGCATGGACAAAGAAAAGAGAAAAAGAACGAGGGGTAGGTTGAAGAAATAAAGAGCAAATTTCCTTAGCTGTAAAATTTTGCACGTCACATCCTCTTAGGATCTGCTGTTCTTATGTTGGAAATGATAGTCCATTAGAGACAGTTCTTAGATGAGCTTGAAAAGCTTTATTTGCTTAAAACTAGATACTGGATCGAGTTATACGGTTAGAATGCAGTATATGAAGATGCTTTTTTCAATGAGGTTTGGATGGTGATAGCTGGGAAGATGCTTTTTCCAATGAATTTTGGAGAGCTATAGTTGAAAGCCTCAATAGGAAAGAAATTACGTTGACATGTCTTTTTGTCACAGCAGTGCAACATCCTGAAGTCAGGTTGGCTAAGGTTAAGGTTGATTCCGACTTCACTTCTCCTTGCAACACCTCCATACTTTATCCAGCTGATGGAGGCAACATGCATTGCTTCACAGCTGTGACCGCATGCGCAGTGCTGGATGTTCTAGGTCCTCCATACTCTGATCCTGAAGGAAGGCACTGTACGTACTACTATGACTACCCCTTTACAAAGTTCTCAGGTTTGCTTCTTGACATCCAATCTTCCCCATGATTTTCCTCTTGGTTATTGAAATCATGCTTCTTACTGTGAAATTCTTGAAAATTTGACTCAGTTGATGGAGCAACTGTACCTGAAGAGGAGAAGGATAAGCATGCATGGCTCCAAGAGAGGGAGAAGCCTGAGGACTTGACTGTTGTTGGCGCATTATACACAGGCCCAGAGATCGTGGAAAACTGATCTCAGCCATCTACATCATCCTGTCATACACACCATTTTCTTGTCCTTCTTGTCTTGTCAGTGTCTGGCTGCAGCATTAGGAACTTTTATTTCCTTTGGTTTTTTTTTTTCTCCTCTTAATGGGACATGGGTGGGTACTCTTTGTTTTGCTTTTTCCTTACAATTTTCTGTACATAAAAGGAAAAACAAGAAAAAAAAAAGGGAAAACTGTAGTAAGTGCACCGGATGAAGTTTGTAGCTCAATGAGAAAAATGTTAAAAGTGCGTTATTTTGTGGCACCTTTCTTTTCCAACTTTTTTTCCTTTATATTTTCCCTTCTTATGTTATGTTGTAAATGACTGACTTGATAGAGATTAATGTCAAAGAAGCCAACTATAACCCCTTCTTTTATTATCCTAATTAATTTATTATAATTTTTAGATGATTCTGATAACATGAAATGCATAAGAGGTTTTATTCATGTAAATTTTGTAATATGACTCATTTTTTTTTATCACTTTTTCCATAGCCAGAACTAGGGAATCCGGAGGCTTTCTTTTCTTCGAATGACCTCTTGAGACCATCTACTTGTGCAGGGCAGAAACATTGATTTGAATTGAGGTTCTAGTACGATAAATCAACAAGGACGGTTGTTTTGTCTTATGTAGTCTACATTATTTGTTGATCATGATCATAATCATCATCTTTTATTATAAATAGCAATAGTGCTAATGATAACCAATCAGCTGGACTGGGTTTTTCTTTCTGTTCCAAGAATGGTTGCTACATGCTTATCTATTTTCAAAAAACATTGGACGAAAGCTGCTCTATCTCTAGCACTAGCAGTAGCCGATATCATTCTAACATGCAATTGCAGAGAAAAATCATGCATCGTCTTTGACTGCAATCATCATTATTGCCACCCTTTTGTATGGTGCTTTGTATATTTTAATAGTTTTAGAAGAAAAAGTTTAATTTATCCATCAAGCCAAATTTAGTTAAAAAACTCCTAAATTGCTAAGATTTTTATTACGGAGAGAATTCTTAAACGAGGTTTACACTTGTACATCTTAAATACGTAAATAATAAAATCCAACATATCTGAAATTTAAAGTTTTATCTCTAAATTATGATCTCCTATGAAAAAAAATTGGCTTGAACTCGAGTCTTATTTTTATATTGCAGGGTGGTGCAAGTTTGGTAGATTTACATGTAAGAGAAAAGATCAAAAGTGCATGTGCTTGTGCAAGAGAACAGAGATCATAGAGAGGCTTAGATCAGAATGTGAAGATGATTTAGCGAGAATTAGACAAAAAATATAGACAGGAAAAAAACTGGAAGATAACTGTAGCATCTTGGTGGTACCATTCAGGTTGAATTTATGTTGGTTTAAGCAAACCTATAAACTTGTTATTTATTGGATATCATGTAATGTAAGGGGCCGAAAAGGTCTTCTATTAGGGCTTGTGACTTTTGAATATAAAGTTAACCGAATAGAAAATTCATCTAGGAAATGTTGACTTTGGAATGAATCTAAGACTATACCGCCCTACTTCAAACCAATATATTTTCTTTCTGGATCTACATTTTAGCTTAACATTTCATACTCAAAAGATATCTCCACTTGCATGATATTTTATAGGAATAGAATAGGTCCATCAATTTGTGTATTTGTGTTTGATTATTTCATCTTTCACACGTGTAAAATACGAAAATTATCATGTTATAATTTATGTCAATATGTTAAATGTAATATATATATATTTTTTAATTTTTATCAAATCTATATATGATTTTTTATAAAATTCTAAATCATGTTGTTGTGTTTAAAATTATCAATATAATATAATTAAAATTATTTTACACAAATTTACCCTAGTGGTTAAGAAATAATTGACTTGGGATAAGACACAGATTTTCTTCTTCCTCTATTTTTGCTTAGAAATGAGGCATAGACTTGCACCGATGGATTAGATTCGATCTGTGACCATCGCCAAATGGAGAGGGGAGAAAGAGAAATATGATAAAAACATTCGATCTATGCTTGCTTGAATGTCAAAGTAACCAATCAAAGAACATAAAAGGAATTTGTTAAGATTTTTTTGGTACATAAGAGATCATAATTTGAAGATGGGAAAAAAAGATTATAAATGCCAAATTTGAACTCGTATCTGTTGAATATTATTTGTTAAGAATTGTTATACGAATCAACTGAATTAAATTTTAGGTTTATCTGTATTATTTATTATTAATTATTAATGACAAGTGAAGTGTTGTTTGAGTTGTAACGGGACATTTCATTAATAAATCTTTGCCATAAAAGAATCTTTCATAAATGAGATTACATTTATTTTACAAAAAAAGTGATGGTGAATAAACAACACTGTCTTTAGTTAGTTGAAACAGGAAGTTATACGAGGAATAGTCCCATCTCATGTGCGCAAATATCACACCATCGAAGCTTTAGGACACACAGAAGGCAAAGAGTGAGGTCCCAGCAGAATAGATGGAATAACAGCCCCAAAACTAACCTTATATCCATTACCGACATAAATGCATCCATTGCTCGCAGACATTCCCCCATACACAGTAGCAGCAGCGTCCATTTTCAGCATCAATAGCATTTACAGGTCCTTGTTTATATGTTGAACCGGAAAAGAGTACACCATTACCTATCGTAACAGGGCCACTAGCAGTAGATTTGCTAGGATAAGCTGTTGACAATAGTATTTCGCCGCTGTCAGCATCCATTGCCACCCATCCACCACCGGTTGTATTTGTTGTGGATGGTCTCAGAGTAAAATTTTTGGATTGCGAGTTGGCTATATTGGTGTAGACCCTCTTCTTATCTGTTGCTGCTCCCCAAGTGCCTCCTCCAGCAAAGCCACCAGGTCCTGCCTCCTATCTATCGAGGCATTGTATGTAAATATTAAAGTTTTTAAAGAAAATTGTAAATACGAAAGAATAATGGCGGATCTATATGTTTAGATGGACAAAAAAGAAAATATCCTGCTCCACACCCCAAATTTTTTCCTTAGACACTCTTTACATTGACAAAATTGATAAATTTGTTGGCAATTTATAGATATAAAAGTTTGAAACGGCGGCTGCAAAAGAATCCCTAAATTTTTAAAGAAGGTAGCATAAGCCAAACTTACAGTAGACCAAAAAGGGCTACCATTATCTCGATTTAGAGCCTAAGCAAATCCACTTTTCTGGACAGCAACAACAACATCTTGCTTAGTCCCATTGACAATGATAGTTAACATCATTGGTGCCTCTTCAAAATCAGCATCAGGGTTTGGACCAGGAGGACAATTAGGGGTTGAAAGATTGTTGCAGGCAAAGAACCAAACATCATAGGCGCCTAGCTGACGATACCGTTTGATTTCCCCAGTTTCCAAATCAAGAGCTAGGATAGAATTTGAGTGGTTTTCTGGCTCAATACACTTGTCAGGACTAGTTGGTACTGTTTGATTATTTTCAGCTTCTTGGCATTGGCGTATACGAAGAGGAGCTGAATACAGGTTTCCTGTTTATATCGATTGATGGGCTGCTTCCCTATATAGCTCCTCCAGTATATTCACTTTTCTGACCGAGATTGTCAGGTAGAGTAAATGTTTGCCACAGGACTTTGCCAGATCGGGCATCTAATTTGGCAAAGCTGCCCCTGAATGTGCAGCATTGCTCAATACTGCGGTTTTCTTCTTGTGAAGATGTGCCAATATAAAAAACCCACAATTTACAAACTGAATGTAAAGTTAACAATATAAGTAACATGAAGATTTCAAAAATACACAAACTGAATGTAAATTGTTAACCTGTGAGATTTGTTGGTAGAGTGCTGGACTTTTAATTAGTGATCAGATTCAAAATTCTAACAGCTTCAAATACCAAAAAGATTTTCAAAAGTTGCACATTGCACAAGGTCACTGCATCATTCTTATTATTTACTAAGCTATGCTGGTTAAATCATCATTTCTGCAACATTTCAAAACTTAAGACAAAATTTGAGTTATTGTATTCCCTCTAGTTGACTGTCACTCAATTGTAACCCTTAATATAAATCATCCCTATAGCATATTGGCCTTGTCTAATTGATTCGATTAATCAACCGTGCCCCAAAAGTCAGACCAGACATTGCCGACGAAGCTTAAATTGTTTCCATCAAATTGCAGCATTATAAACCACGCTGCATCTAAAGTCAGCAAAGTCAGAATAAAAGCAGTTTTTTAATTCAATTGAGCTGTAGACCCTTAAATATTGTAATCAGACACTTGAAGTCTTTCTATTACTCTTGATTAGATGATCTATACTACTCAAATTAGTAAAACATGAATGCAATGCAACTTTGGTAGAATACTTTCTAAGTATAACAGATGTAGTAATTTTCAGTGCAGAAAAGCTTTTGAAAGATCAGAAGATAAAAAAGGAAAGACAGAAAAGAATTATGTTAGATTAATAAGTTGACTAACCCCTTGTAGTAAGTTCCGGACATGTAATAACACCTGCAGCATGGTTTTCAAGTGGGTTTACCAAACAAGCTCACCAGTTAATCTTTCAACAGCAATAACAATAGCAGGGCCACAGATTCCAATAATAAGCAAATCATCTGCTATTGTTGGTGTTGCTCTTGCAACTGTCCGGTTAACATTGATAAGAAAACCGGTACAGTTAAGGCCAGTTAACTCATATAAGTTTTTTTCCCAAACAAGGGATCCATCAGATGCTTTAACGGCATAGATGTTTCCATTCCAGCTTGGAAAATAAAGGGTTTCATTGAAAATTGCTAGTGTTGCTGTTATGTCTTTGCCTGCATAAAATTCCCATTTCTGGAAACTGTTTCGGGGCTGATCCTGGTCTTTTTCACAGCATATCTTCTGTTATACAAGTCTCCACCATGGTTGAGCTAGTTTTGTGAAGACTTCTGCTCTTTGGCAACTGTGTTCCACTGCAAGCAACAACCATCCACAATATTAATACACTTCGAATCACATAAAACTTTTGGATCTGTAGTAAGAAGGAACTTACACCAAATTGTGCAAAGTTTCTGTTGAAAAATGTGTAAATGCATAGAAAAATGACAATAACTTTATTGTAGCATACAGGAGCCGCCATTGAAGTTGATTTTTGATATATGATATCACCGTGTGAATTTATATCAATGAATATAGCCACTAGCTCAGATAGAATTGTAATAACTCAATAATCTTCATCTTATTGGCTTGACTTTTGACTTTGTGTTAGGAAATAAAATTTCTTTTGCCTCTCCGTTAGTCATGGACTTTGACCTTGGGATTTAAAATTATAAAGGGGAAGTCTGATCTTGTGATTGATGAAGACACCTTTAACAAGGATCGAGTAACTTGCAGTGCACAAACTCGAAATTGGACCATGTAATATAAAATATATATTTATATATCA